AAGTGAGAAAAAAGTGTTTATTACGTTTGAAATATGGATATTTATCTTACAAAAATGCATGGATTTGCTACAGGAGACCTTTATTAACCCCCCGGAGCCGTGTGAGGGACGTTTTATTATGGATGCATGCACTTTATTTCACGTCATCTGAACTGTTGACAACAAACACCCGCTTACCCCCATTGAAAGGCTTGGAGGGGCCAAGACAATTTTTAATATAATTCTGATTGGATTCGTCTGAAAGAAGAAAGTCACATACACCTAGGATGCCTCGAGATTCTGAGGCAGATGAGACTAATTGAATTATCTGGCCTCAACACCAAATGATACGTCTGGCAGAAATCCAGTACAGCTCAGCATCCAAATAACAGCATTCCTCCAGTAAAGCATGGCGCTGGTAATATCCTGTTCTGGGGGAGTTTCTTTGCAGCAGGGACTGGAGCACTTTTCAGGTTAGAAGGAAAAATGGATGGGGCAAAATACCGTCAAATTATTGAGGAAAATCTGCTGCCATCTGCCAGAAAGATGTCAATGGGAAGACGGTTTACCTTCCAACATGACAATGACCCAAAGCACGGAGCAAACCTGAGCACACAGTGGTTGAAGGAGAAAAAGGTGAATGTCCTTGCATGGCCTAGTCAGAGCCCAGACTTAAACCCCACTGAAAATCTGTGGAATGACTGCAGTCCACAAACGGTCACCATCAAACTTAACTGAACTTGAGCAGTTCTGCAATGAAAAGTGGGCAAATATTGCAATGTCTAGATGTGCAACGTTAGTAGAGAAATATCCCAACAGACTAAAGGCTGTAATTAAAGCAAAAGGTGGTTCACAAGGGGGTGATCCTTTTTCAACTTATATACAGTACTACAGACATTTGTAACAATACAAAGCTGAATGAAAACTGCCAAACTTATTCTTTAAATCCATCATGAATTCCATCCCTAACCATGCTCTTTATGAAACACATTACAGTTTTTACTGAACAATCTCAACACAGATGACCAGAAGATTAACAGATTGCAAGAAAATTTGATATGAAGTTAAGATGAATGGCATATCCAGGACTCTATATCGAAAGAATTGAAATGTTCCATTTGGAGAAAGGTGATTCCTGGAGAGATTACTGGAGATTGCGGGCTGAAACTGAGGCAGATTGAAATCTGAGCTATATGCCACTGGCAGACATTTCGCCATTGGAATAAATTGGAGAAGGGAATTTCTCATCAATGTAGAATGTGTGGCCTCCAGCTCAGCTTTCTGGCCTGCGCTTTGAAAGTGACAAATGCTTAATCTCCTGCAACAAAATGAGGGGGCTTTTCCATTCTTCAGCCCTTAACCTACTCAAGACACACATACACACACACACGCACAGGTGGGCATCCACACACACACACACACACACACACATGCATACACAAGGCGCTAGCATTAAATCATGGACTTATGTATTTAAGCTCAAAGGCAGACACACAGTATTACTGATCGACACACACACACACACACACACACACACTTTTTAGAAGGTGCCTTACTCTGTGCATTACTG